GCCGTTCCGCGGGCGGCTCCCGGAGCCGAGCGGTGCTGCTCCGGGTGCAGCATTCCAGGCGTTTCCCGGAACCCGGCTGCATCCCCTGCTCCTCACACACAGGAGGATGGACTTTAAAGGGTCCTTTTCTTCCCTCTCTTCCTCAAGCCAGCAGAAAAAACACCAGCCGAGCTCGAACAGGCGCAATCCGTAAACGAGGTCATCGGACTCCACCGGCTGCCAAGGCCAAGGCACCGGGAAAGCCCAGGGACCCGGGAACCCGCTTCCATTTGCTTGACAGCGGGAGAAACACAGAACAAGAAGCTAAGCTCGCCAAATCTTAGCCGTTAATGTCACAGAAATTCATGGAAACTCCCTGTACAACGCGTAACTACCTCTCGGTTAAAACAAGCTAAACGGTTAAAACCCTTCCCATGCGCTCTGCTGAAAGTCAATCCGATACACGAACAGAAAACAGCAACAACAGAGAGAAAAAAGAAAAAAAAAGGAAAAAAAAAAAAAAAAAAGAAAAGAGATCCTTTGAAACAGAACTTGCTCTTAGAGTGATGAGGACAACATGCACGTCCGGGGAGGCTTCCCACTTTCCTCCTCCCTCCAATGCCAGGTCATGAGCACAACGAACATTATTGCTGGCGCTGGCTTCAACCGTCGCGGCCCCCGCGCCCCTCGGCGCCCGCGCGACTCCTCGAGGCCCCCTTGCCCTCCCCTTTCCTCGTACGGGGCCTGGGGACGGCCCTTGTCGCACGCCGGTCACAGTGGGTGGAGCGGGGAGGTCACAGTGCGTGGGGTTTGAAGGTCACAGTGGGCAGAGCAAAGGGGAAAAACGAAAACAAAAAAAAAATTAGGTATCACAGTGCAAGTAAACCAGGTAGTTCCCGTTGCTCGAGTCCGTTTGTGCGCGGCGCGGCCCGCGGCGCTGACCCTGCCTCCTGCAGCATGAGCGCTCGCCCGCCTCTATCTGCGCTGCTTGAAGCCCTGCGAGCCGTCGGGACCCAGCGGCTGCCTGATCACATTGTTGGGCTGCCTGGTGTCCTCCGGCTGGGAGATCCGCGGCGGCCT